CGATTATGGAATACGTTTCACTCATAATGGCCACCAACATATTCATGAGGATGACGAGTCCCAGCAAGTTGAACATGGCAAACAAGATGGATCCGGTAACTCTGGTTAACGAATGCTGGTGAAAAACAGTCGTCACATTGTGGCCAACTTTTAATTTTATCGGGGGCAGTTGAACTCTAGGAGCAAGGGACTGGGCATCTCCAAAAAAGCCCCAATAGACTGATGACCCCGACGATAAGAGGCTTAGGTAGACTTGGGCCGACCTCTCCTCCGAACCGTCCGGTAAAATGGCTTTCATCCTGGCGTAGGAGTGGTAAAGGTTGAAGAGAGTGACGGTGAAGGCCATCCAGACGACGGCCATGATACAGAGGAAAGGGATCGTCTCTTCTATCATTCTGTAGACGCAGATCTGTTGCATTGGTTGGTTGTTTTGTGTATTTAGATTGCTTTTTGTTGTTTGCTCGTTCGTTTGTGGCTGCCCTGTATCTTTTGTTTGCTGCTACCAACAGCATCGCAAGAGGTTAAAACATCGTAAAACAAAACAGAATATAGTTAATAACGACAAAATTTAAAACGATCGTATATCAAAATAAGCCAAAAACGAAAAAAATTAAACTCAAAAATATAAAAAAAATTTAAAAAAAACCTGGAGGGGACCGATGATTCTACTCAGTTGCAGAAATGAAAACATCCTGAAAAACGTCAACATGATCCCCAAACTGTACAAGATCTCCCCCACTAACCTCGGCTCGTACGCCGGCCAGAAAGATCGGGGTATATTTTCTGACCCTGGAAACTCCCTGACCTCGTAGGCTGCCAGTCCCCAGCATACGAAACTTAACGAGAAGAAAGTTAGCAAGACGAGATCGTAAAGGTTCCAATCTGAATTTATTCAATTTTTCTAAATTTTTAGTTTATTCCAAGTTAAACTTAAATTTTTTAAAGATATGTGCACTGTAACGTCTGATGTAGAAAGAAAACATGACGCCAGTTTATATCAGATTCAACAGAAATTTACAATTTTTTCCTGTCAATTGTGCAAGTACACACAGTCACAAACACACACTGACACACAACCACACACACACACACACACACACACACACACTGACACACACAAACAAACACACATACTTCCAAGTAAAAATACACCAAACACTTAGAAATCAACTTAAGTCCTCACAGTTAACGAAGAAAGAATGATTTCCGCGGTTGAAGATGAACATGATCTTAGCGTACCACATAGCTATGACGTACCACATGTCGAAGTATACAATGGGCAGCCAGGGCGGGCCTCGAGAATCATCATTTTTCATCAAGTAACCCTTGGGGGGAATTTTTTAAAGTAAGATTTTTAAGGGCTGCATTTTGTGGCTGTTTTTGTTTTATGGCATCTATTTGGCTGTGAATCAAATGTGTGTGTGTTTGTGTGTGAGTGTGCGTGTGTGTTTGTGTGTGTGTGTGTTACGTGCGATTTATGTGCTTTACTTTGTTGATGCTGAGTGCATTTAGTTCGCGATTTGTCATTTCCTTTTAATTAACTTGGGTAATGTTCTTTTTTTTAATTGTTCTTATATAGTGTTAAAGTTTCAAACAAATGAATGCATATTCAAACAAATGAATACATATTCATTTGTTTGAAACTTTAAAATTTTTATCATTGCATATTAATAATTTATTCACGTAAATCCTGAAACAGCCAAACGTTCGGTACTACCGACTACAAATGACATCCCTACCGAGACGAGATTGAGGATCAAGAAAAGAGAGAAGGAAGCAGCCTCATTCAGAAACTTGTTAACCGGTATCCGACATCGCTCAGCAACCGGTCCGTACGGTATCAACACGGTTATGCATGCGATAAACGGTAAAGTTACGATTCTTTGAACGTAAGAAAAAAACATCTCCAAACTCGACATCCGTCTAACCGACCAATCGTCACCGTACCACTTATCGGCTAAAACCTGCGTGAAATCAGAATCAATAAAAATAGGGATGGATCGAGATTTCGGTAAAAATAAACTAAAAAAAATAACTTGTTGGCAGTTGCTGTTGGCCACAAAAAACCTCAACTTCAACTCAAGAGCTTGTTGTATTCTGTTAAAAGGAACGCACGAGTACCTCGTTCGGAATTCAGCTTGCCTACTCAGTAAGATTCGTACCTCACCTTTGGTTCGACACAAGCTTATCAGGCTCGTCACGTAACTAAACAGATGATCATTGATGAGGTTGCTGCTTTAGTTAATTGTCTCTTTATTTATTCCCACCAAAGATATTAACAACACACACAAACAAACAAACAGACAGACACACAGCGTCTTAACCGCTACATTATTAAGATGAAGTTTTATCTATGCTTTCAAAAATTCACTCAAAGTTTTCAATCAAAATTATCAAAATTTTGTAACAGGAAAATGTACAACACAAACGTTGAACACTGAGATGCTAATGATTTGTATTCGTCCGAATACTCCGGATCTAACTCGGATTCCTCGAGGAGGTCGCTGTACAACCTGAACGTGTGTATGATGGGGTCGATCGAGGATACGGTAATGTAGGCCGAACTCGCTAGTGCTCGGTATTCGTGCTGTCGAGACAGAGCTTCTATTAACGATCTTTCGGATATGTTTCTGGCGAGTTTTTGAGGAATTTTTAAAATTACTTTAAGAAAAATTAAATTAAGAAAAATGGCGCGACAAAAATGAAATGATAATAATACTATTTATAACTTGTAGTAGTAGTAGTAGCAGCAACAGTAGCAACAGTAGCAGTATAACAAAACAAACAGACGGACAGACAGACGGACAGACAGACAGACAGACAAAAACAAAGAAACGAACAAACTTGCAGTCCTCGCAATCGCAGTAGCGTCGATGTGGCCGATGCAGCCGATGTCCATACTTCACCAAAATTTGAATGGCGGCCAAATCATTCCTCTCACAGGCTAACATCAGAGGGGTTAAATATGGCGGGTAGTCATGGCAAGCCGATAGGTTGTAGATGCCGTTAGGGGTAATGGGGGTAGGACTTGTCGCCCTACCTATGCATGGCGGATGTGATTGGTACTTCAGCTTGACACCGTGTTTCTGATTTTAGAGTGGAATTTGAGAAAATTTGTTATATTTTTGGTAATTTTTGTTAGTTAATTATGAAATTAGTTTCGTTGAATTAGTCATAAGAGTTGTTGTAGCAAATAATTCATCATCGTTGTCGTCATCGTCATACTCATCGTTATTATTATCAACATCGTCGTCAACATCATAATCATTATCGTTGCTATCATTCAGTTCTTCATCAGCACGAGATAAGATAGATCTGATACAAATGGATACAAACAGATATATATATATATATATATATATATATATATATATATATATATCACAAGATTGATATGATACACTTATCATTACGTGTTTGATCGTGGTCTGTTTCTCAAGGATGATGACCATGAGATCATACAGTTTTTCACTTATGCAGATGAATAAGCCATTTGTCAGCTAGATTTAATCATTTTTAATTCATTTCAAATTAAATTTAATCATCTGAAATTCATTTTAAATTCAATTCAATCATTTTTAATTCATTTTTAATTCAATTGAATCATTTTTAATTCATTTTTAATTCAACTAAATCATTCTTAATTCATTTCAAATTCAATTTAATCATATTAAATTCATCTTTAATTCAATTTATTCATTTTTATTTCATCTTAAATCCATTTTTTCACAAAATTAAACTGCTTTTTCATTCAATCCAGTCAGCAAACTACAGACTACCAACCGACACAAAACTTTTTTCCATGTTTATCAGCATTGCACTGACCGCACTGTCACCAGCCAATAGTGAGGCTGCAAGTAAATTGTTGCCATCATCATCTTCGATCTTGTGTATCAGTCCTTTGAGGTTTGGCTTTTTAGCAAAGTATAATGATAAACCGTTTAGGTTTCTACCTTTTATGCAGTCGAATAGCGTTTTATTTTTAATTTTCTCTTTACTAATTTCAAAAACGCCACGTTCAACGTTGTAGTATCCGAATACTTCCTCATCAGAGAGTGAACTTTGCGACATTTTGAAGTAATTTTTACTTATTTAAACGACTGTAAGTCACGATTTACGAGTAATAATAGTATTTTAATCGCATTTAATAACTTATTTAATATAATTTGATTAATATGTTTAGTCTTTTTTTACTTTTTTACCATTAAATGTTACTAAATTCATCTACTTTGAAGTAAAAATAAGCTTTATCATGCTAAAATGTTCTGTCTGTGTATTCTATATTATGTTATAAATTACAATTACAATGAAGGAAAAGTCAAACTTTTTTTATATTTATACATATTTATCTTTGGATATTTAAACATATTTATTTATTAATTTACTTAATTATTCATTTATTTTTATTTATTAATATTTAAATTTGTTTTTTCGAAAATTATTACGCATTGTCAATATAGGACGCGAACACTTGACAACGACAACAACATGAAAAACGTTTTTTTTGTTTACAAAACTTTCAAAAAATCAAAACAAAGTAGCCAAAAGTTATAAATAATAAATCAATAATTAACAATTTTATAACTATTTAATTTATTTTATAGTTTCGAAATATTTTACTTAGAATTAATATTGCGGTATTGGCACGTCTGAAGTAGTAAATTGTATTGTATGTAAACTTTGTATGTTGTGTTGTATGTTGACTTTGTATTGTATAGAATACAATACAAAGTCATCGTATTGTAAACTGTTATAATAAGTAATTTATTACGACTTTGTATTGTATAGAATACAATACAAAGTCTATAGTATTATAGTATTTAATTGTATCGTTTAGTATACAATACAAATACAATACAAACAATTTTTATTCATTTTTTCTCTTTCGCTTTCTCTTTCTTCTCTCTCTCCTCTCTCTCTTTCTTCTCTTTTTCCTCTTTCTCTTTCTTCTCTTTCTCCTCTTTCTCCTTATCTTCTTTTTTCTTTCTATTTGCTTCCTTGTTCTCTTCGTCTACCTTCTTCATAAAATCAGCTTGGTGCGCTTTCAAATACCTAGATAAAATTTTGTATAGTTTGGGTATTTGTATGTATGTCAGTGTAAATTTAGGCATATAATTTGGGTATTTGTCTGTATGTCAGTAAAAATTTAGGCATATAATTTGAAAATTTCCATGTATTACGGTGTAATGATAGGCATAAAATTTGTGTATTTGTTGATTTAAACGTTAAATTAGGTATAATTTGGAGGTATGTTTATTTTATTTATATGCCAATTTATTTAAATGCTAATTTCTTTAAATGTAAATTTACCAAGTGCAAATTAGTTTAGACATAAATTCATCATAACACAGCGAGAATTAATCAAAATTAATAGAATGAAATGAAACATTACATACAATACGGATAAAATACCGCACAATACCACAGTTTACAATACGATGACATAACGATTCGAGATAACGAATCATTTACCTATTAACCAAATCATCTATAAGCTTCTTATAGATTTGGTTATCATTTCCCAAAAAGTCATTTCGCTTCTTGACGCTACTGTTTTGGTAAAAGTTAATAAAATTTGAGAGAATTATAGTATTTTTAATTATTGTTATTACCCAGAGATTAATTAAATTTGATAGAGTGATGGTATTTTTAGTTATTGTTATTACCCAGAGATTAATTAAATTTGATAGAGTTATGGTATTTTTAATTATTACGATTCCCCAGAGGTGTTAAATAAATAATAATTCACTATATTTATGAGAAATAAAACTCTAACTCGAATAAAATCTGCTTATCTCCGCTGTTCATCGAGAAATAAAGTTTGACGATTAGTTTAGACGAAGGTAAGATGTTATAAGGGGGAGGTAGGGTGCTTCCCTCGTACAAATAACTCAACCAGATCTGTGTGGGGTTTTCCGCAGAGATTTTTTTAGCGTATGTGTTTTTTGATGTATATTTTTGTAAAGTAGCGTTGTCAAAATTTTAAATAAATTTCGTTTAAACTTTCTAAGTTATAGAAGAAGTAGTGGTAGTAGCAGCTGTAGCAGCAGCAGCTGTAGCAGCAGCAGCTGTAGCAGCAGCAGTTGTAGCAGCAGCAGTAGCAGCAGTAGCAGTAACAGTAGTAGACTAACTCGCGTTCTGGCAAATTTCCATTTGATTAGTGACTGTCCGACAATGTTTGAGTAGGAATCGCTCATGATGGCGACCAGCATGTTCATGAGGATGACGATTCCCAGGAGGTGGAAGATTGCAAAGAGGATCGAACCGATGACCTGCGTCAGAACGTGCTTGTGGTAGATGGTGGCCGCGTTCTTGCCGACTCTCAAGTTTATTTCTGGCAGCACGACCTAAAAATTTTTTTATAGAAATATGTTTTTTTTTATTTACTTGAATAAAATTTTAATGAAATGATTTAATGTGATGAAATTATATTAAATTTAACTATAAAACTATAACCAAAAATACTAAGCTAAACAATCGATCGACCGGCCATCCAATTAAGTTATCAATCATAAAAAATTAAAAATACTAAATAAAAAACAGAAAACCTTGGGGGCCAAAGACTCCGAATCGCCAAAGAAGGCCCAGTAAACAGAGGATGCAGCGGAAACTAAACTAACGTATGCCTGACTCGCTTTTTCCGACGATCCGTCAGGCATGACGGCTATATTTTTAGCGTAGGAGTGATACAAATTGTAGAGAACTACAGTAAAGGCCAACCAGACAGTTCCCATAATGCTAAGGAATGGGAGTGTTTCCACAATCATGCGAAATACACAGAGCTAGATTTTTTAGTGATGTGGAATGTTTTGTTTTTTTGGGATGACTTTCTTGTGGAATTAATGTTGTTGCTGTTGTTTTTGTTGTTGCTGCTGTTGTTGTTTTTGTTGATGTTGCTGCTGCTGATGATGTTAAAAGTCTGTTATTATGTAAGTTGAGGGATTTTAAAAATATTTCATTTCAAATTTTTCTTGTTAGAGTCAGCGTTTAAATTGTATTTTTCAGTGTAAAATAAAAAAAATTGTGTGTATCATCAATAAACTCTGTAATTTCTAGAAACCTCCAAACACTGAACAACAATCAGACCTGCAATGGACCAATTGCCCGACTCAACTGAAGGAACGAGAAAATCCTGAAAAATCCCAACATAAATCCCAGACTGTAAAAGATCTCGCCGACGAGACGCGGCTCGAAACACGGCCAGTACTCCCGCGGGATGTTCTCCGAGTCCGGATCAACTCCAATTTCGTAGGCGGCCAGTGTCCAGCAGACAAAACCCAACGTGAAGAATGACAACATGATGGTATCGAAAAGGTTCCAAACTGTTTTGTGTCAACCAGGCAACCAGCTAGCAAACCAGTCAGCCATCCAATCAATCAACCAATCAATCAACCTACCAGCCATTCATTCAATCATCCAATCCAATCACTTAACCAACCAACCAATCAATCGATTAACCAGCCAACCATTCATTCAACCATTCAATCAGCCAACCATTTTGAAAATATGCATGGTGACCACGCTTCCAGAGGTATCGGAGTTTGCTGTACCACATGGCGAAAATATGGATGACGTTATAATAGGTGAACACCCAGGGAGGCGGTCCTCGAGTCGTGTGACTCTCAGATACGAGGTTCTGATTGGTTGAAGTTTAAATTTGATTGACAGGCATTCTCAAATTAACATAACAAACAATCAACCAAACGCAAGAGATTCAATTCAACGTAAAATGAACCAATGAAATAAAAAAAACAAATAAATTCACAGTAAACCAGCCAATCAAATTAATTCACTAAAAATCAACCAATCAAATAAACTCACTAAAAACCAGCCAATCAAATAGACAGAACAAAAAAAAAGATACAAACCCCAATAAGATTAATAATCAAAAAAAGGGTGAAAGATGCGGCTTCGTTGATGAATTTGTTAACAGGAATCCTGCACTTATCAGCGACGGGACTGAAAGGGGCAACCAAATAAATCAGGGCAAGAAAGGGTAGGGTAAAAATTCTGAATATGTAGGATAGGAAAAATCTGCACGGAGATTGGAGGCGCTTGTCCGATTCGGTGCCGTACCACTCGTCGGAGAGTACCTAATTAGGAACGGCGTGGGGTGCCATTATGATGTTTTATCTCGTTTTGAATTTTCGTTAGCTCTTTTTAATGATTCAATGAAGTTTGTACGTTGTAGATTAGGATTGAGTGTGTTGTTTGTTCGTTTGTTTGTTTGTTTGTTTGTTGTGTGTTTGTTTGTTTGTTGTGTGTCTATCTTTCCATTCGTACATACGTGTGACGTTGTTTCAATTTTATGTCTATATCATGTCTATTCTATTCTATGTCTATGTCTATTATATACTATATATATATATATATATATTATAATTTTAACGACTCAATCAATCAATCAACAAACCAGTTTGTATTAATTCCAGGAAAGATACTAAATATAATATAACTACACAACAGAGGTAAAAGCAAATGTGATTGCGAATACAATTAAACAACGCTCATGTTCTCTCTATAAGATTTTAATTTTAAAATAGGGAAAACCCCAAACCTGTTGGCAATTGACGTTAGTGACAAAGGTGTAGAGATCCAGTTCGAGAGCCTGATGGACCCTATTGAAGGGCATGGGGGTAGTCCGCATGGGGAACTCCACCTGCCTGCTTAGGAGGATCATGACCTCGACCTTCGTTCGACATTGGTTCAACAGCTGCATGCAGAAGCTGTGTGTGTGCCATTGCGATCAAGATCATGGGGATGATGATGATAGAAATGAGTGTATATCATTTTGTTGTTACCTACACACATTCACACACATTCACACAAACACAATCACATACACACACACACAAACAATCACACACACACACACACAGCCAACACGTACTTACTCGGCGCACTGATTTGCGATAGCAGTATATTCGTCATAAAATTCTGGCTCCGTTTTAGATTCGGCTTTCAGGACGGAATTTAACCGGAACATGTAGAGCAAAGGGTCAAAGGTCGACAGTATGACGTAGGGTGGGCTGGCCAAGCATTTGAATTCGGTATAACGAGTTTTTGCCTCGATGAGTGATACGTCTTCCATCATTCTGACGATGATGGTGGCGATGATGATAATGATGAGTATGATGATGATGAGGATGATGAGTGCGATGATGGTGTGAATTGATTAACTAATTATTAAGAAATAAATCAATCAACAATGAAAAGTGAATTCGAATATAAAAAATGAAACCAACTCGCATTCAGGACAGGTGCAATCGGGCAAATGCGGTTTATGCAAGCGATGACCATAATGGAGCAAAATTTTGACCGCGGGAAAACTATTTTTCTCGCAGGCCAACATCAGCGGGGTGACGTAGGGAGGGTAATCATCGCAAATTCCCACCCACATGCCCTCATTCGTACGACAGGGTGGGTGAGAATCGTCCTTCACCTCTATTCCTTGTTGCTGTGGAATGCGAGGAATGTTACATTGTTAAATTTTATGGAGTATTTGAAATTTAAAAAAAAGGGTTTAAAATGTTTTATGTTGAGGTGGTAATTAAAGGCCTATATTCCGTTATTTTTCCGGAGCACCTCCCACAACTCTAAATTCGATCCTGAATACTGGATTATTTTAAAAAGAGGCTTTTGAATTTTTTAAGGAGTCTTTGGAAATTTCCCTTGGGCTGGCGGTGGAGAATTTTTACTTTGAGTGGGTCATTAATTAAGGGTCTCCATTCCGTTATTGCCTACCTCAGAGCCGCCATAAGTATAAATTCGACTCTGTAACTCGGAAATTATCTTATTTTCCATATAATTAATAATATTCATGATTATAATTAATCAATTAACCATAATTATTGACCAAAATTTCAAAATTATTCTACCCCTTTTATGACTTCTTGCCTATCCAATATTATTATCATAAGATCGTAGGCTTCCTGAGATATGCAGATGAACAGAGCATTTGTTAGCTGCGTGATGGAATGATACCAAATAATATAATCAATTTATTACATAATAATTATATTATAATCAAAAATAATTATTGGTAACAAGTTATAATTATTAATTTAACGGTAAAAGACAAAAATTGGTTTTCAGTATATGAGGATTTAAAATAAAAATTCTAGATTATATACAGCGTATGGCATTGTTTTATGAAACAAATCAAGTTGAAGCATGTAATGTCATAAAATTGACACATTGTAACATGCGTGGGTACAATACACTGACAGAATACGAATACACATTTGATAAGTGTAGCATCCGACCGAATATAAAAGTACACAAATATAATATACCGATCGAATACACACTTAGCACATACCAAAATACGCAAACGTAATATACCGACCGAATACATATCCGTATCGATATTAATAATCATGGTAGCGATTTGCTTGTCCTGCGTTTGAACTGCTACCGCCAAAGGATCCAGTTTATCTTCGTCTGCCAGCAAATGAAGAGTTTTACTCAAACCCGGGTTTTCTTCAATGAAACTCGACAATTTATCGACTTCTTTGTTTCGAATCATGTCGAATATTCTATCAAGTTTAGGCGGTTCTTTGCCTTTCTTCGCATCCGGTTTTGGTGCAACGCTACTGGTCGATTTGGTCGGTAACTGCAGAGTCGGTGACGCTGTGGTTGACGATTTGTTGAGGCTGATTGGGTTGATGGGATTTGAAGAGAGACCCAAAGTTGCAGCGGATTTCGATTTTGATGATTCGGCCGGTCGAATGTTTTCAGAACCAGACGACGTATCGCTCATTTTGTCGAGTTTTCAGACTTTTCTTAGGTATATGGTTAAATAATCTTCGAGTTGATTGCGTTGGTTATTTGGGATATAATGATCTCATGTGTCGCTGTTGAAGTGGTATGTATGTTTTATTGTATGTTTTTGTGTGTGTTTGTATGTCTTTGTATGTTTTTATGCGTCTATTTGTGCCTATATGAGCGTGAGATTAATTGTTAACATTCGTTAATAATAAAGCGTTAATTATTTGTTACTGAATGCAGGTACAATGTACAATTGTACAGTGTACCTGCCTGAAGGTATTTGTACGCACAAACCGTTGTAAATAATATAAAAACTAAGCAATTTGTTTACTTAAAAACATTTCAACAGTAATAAATGAGGTCTGAAAGATTATAAATATTGATACATCATAAAATCAATCACACCAAACAATAATACAGCAGATGAAGTTTTGTATTTCAATACAATCGGTGGACATAACACAAATACACATTTAGGAATACCAGATGACAACAATAATAGTACTTCCATCTATCGATATTTTTATCAAATAAAAAAACGAATAATAATTTTTTCGATTAACAAAAAAAAGACAGTAAATACAAAGAAGATATCAATAACATTCCTCTAATCAACTTAGTATCATAAGCCGGTTAACAACGCGAGGTGTTTATTTGATTTGCTTTGACCAGCTAGCGAACATGCAGTTAAAACCGATATTTTAGATTTATATCTATTCGATTCAATCAGCAAACTAACGAGCAGAACACCAAATAACCTATTCGGTATAGTTGAACACCGAATCTATCGAATCCCATCATTCAAATAACCAGTCGAATGGATAAACCGACAGGGATCAGACAACCGACCAACAACACAAACACACGGACAACAGACAGACACAAACACAGACAACCGACCGAAACAAACACAGACAACCGACCGAAACAAACACAGACAACAGACCGAAACAAACAAAGACAACAGAACGAAACAAACACAGACAACAAACTGAAACAAACACAGGCAACCGATCAACAACACAAACACACGGACAACAGACAGACACAAACACAGACAACAGACCAAAACAAACACAGAAACGGAACGACACAAACACAGACAACAGACCGACACACCAAGACTAACACCGATTACGACATCGGCCCAACTCAAAGACAAAATTTTTTACATTCATTTTCAGGATGGGGGCGCCGGATCGTACGGATACCTGCTGCCCCGGTGGGAGAGAAATTTTACTTTCGAAATCTCTTGCTTGCGATTCCGCACATCCCCATAACAGAGATGTGTGCCACTTACGGCAAAAGCCCTTTTTGTCCGGACAACGGTTTATGAACGAATATATACATACATCTGTTCTTAAACTATGGTGGAAGTGTTTCTGAGTGTTAGTATTTTTTTGGAAAGAAGTCTTTTCAGAAATTCATATTTATAGATGTTTTTTGATGTTTACAAAAATTAATTTGTAAAAATAACAATTTAATATCAAATATTGTTATTCTATCGAATGAAGAATATTTTTTACATTTCATTTTACAATATTTCAAGTTAACCAGTTATATATAAATTGCGTTAATAATAAATTATTCAAATAAAATATTATTATATGGATATACTTAGAGTCAAATATATATATAATATATGTATAGAGTTAGATAATTGAAATTTATTTATAATTCTATGGTAAATAATTGCGTGAAAGTTTAAATTTATTTATACGGCGATAATAAAGAAGGTCGTGTTCGTTAAAAATTAAAATGTAAGTTCTTTTTTTACTCGTTTGCACTTAAATATTTAATAAATTAATTAAGTGTTTGTCATATTTGGATTAATTTGATTAATTAATTTTAATTATTTCAATATAAATTCTAAATTTCCTAATTTGATTTTTTCCTCTCATTTGCATATTTGGCAGATGGGCGCCACGGTCTCACAGGAGGCGGCCAACTCCTACATTCAAACCCACTCAAATTTAGGCTTCCAGGCCAAACATTGTCACATCTTTACAAATGATAGAAGCAAATGTCCAGGAAAGTGTCCAATTGATCATTCAAAACGTCATCAAACTCATTATTCTTCTAATAATTCTTCTACTAAATTAGTGTCCGGATCTGCTGGGGAATGTCCTGTGAAGCATCACGAAAGATCTGACATTTTCATCAGTGAGTGCCCCGCTGGTTTTGATAAGAAACATCCTAGTGAGCAGATTAACTTCAACAACATGGTCAGTAAATGAAAATTATATTTTACATCTAATAATTTCTGTTCTGATCTACTAAATAAATTAGTGGATGAGTGGATGACTGTTGGATGAATAAAATAAACTATTTCATTCAACCAGTTTTATTTATTTTTTACTTTATTTATTAATTTAACTAATTTATAACTAATTTAACTAATTTTCATTTAACTGTTAACTAATTTATTTAATTAGCACACATTTTAACTTAATAAAAATATACACAACAAACAAAAATAAATTTTTTCTCACCAGATGCCACCCCCTAATCAGCAGCCGGCCCCAGACCAACCCTTTCCATTATCAACAATGAGGGAAGTTTCAACGATCCCGAGAGCTGACAAAGAGAATGAAACCTGGCTTTACCCATCCCAACAAATGTTTTGGAATGCTATGCTAAGAAAGGGTGAGTCCATTTCCAGAATTGAAGGGGTGTTCAGGGTGGAGTTTTTATATGTTTAATGATTTATCCACATTTTTTTATAAAGCCAAGATTAATATTTTTTATTATATATCACAATTATAACACAGCACCAATGGTATAGAAATGCAGTTAATACCATGTACTGCATATCATTACCACTATTTATTCTTTCCCTAATCCCCAATTAGGCTGGAGGTGGAAAGACGATGACATAGAAGCCGAGGACATGGGAGTGATAATAAAGATACACAATGCCAACAATGAAGAGGCCTGGAGGGAAGTGCTTAAATGGGAGGCCCTGCATGCAGAGTTTGTATATTTTGGGAGGGTATTTTTTAGTGTATTCATGTTGGAAGAGTGTATGTAATTGACCTTTAACCTTTGAGTTTTTCTTTCTGTTGTATTTCTTTGCATACTTTTGTGTATTTTTAGTAGGATTTTGTTTAGAAAAAAGATATCTTCTCTCTTGCAAAAGTATGAAAGAAGATTTTAAATATATTTTTCAAAATTTTTTTTTGGTCTTTAGTAACAAAAGATTTAAAAGTATTTTTTTAATTCTCAGCGAATGCAACAACCCGAAATTGAAGAGTTTTGGCGGGAAAGCTACCCAGTATTCGCCGAGAGCTAGAATCCGGAGCTGGCTGGGGTATGATGACGACGATGATGATGGTGCTGAATGTAATGATGAGGATAATAAGGGCGACGATGGTGATGATGATGATCTTTCTACCACCCCCTCCCCACCTAAACAGATATGAACTACCGTTCGATCGACATGACTGGATAGTTGATAGGTGTGGTAAAGATGTCAGGTACATCATCGATTACTACGACGGAGGCAAGGTTCGAACGCAAGCTTAGGAAAAACTATTAATAAGAAAAGATTTTTTTTCCATTGAATTTTATTTATTTATTGTTTGTTTGTACGACGTTTCCTAATTTTAGGTAGACAACCATTTCCGGTTCTCCAACCTAGACGTCAGGCCCGCCTTCGACTCTTGGTCGGCCATCTGGGATAGAATGAAGGTATGCTGGATGAGAAAAACAATGGAGTTAGGCTTCAACCTTCCATCGACCAATCACAGATCAGATAATCGGGCCAGGCCGACGGCAGCAGCCAATAGCGAAACTCCTAAATAATTTTGATGATGATAATTATACAAATAATAATATTAAAACCAGTAGTAATTATTATCATTATTATTATTTATTATTGTTAGTCAGTAATCTTTTCTTCCCCATTTGCCTTGTGATGATGAAAAAGGCACAATTTAAAAAATTTTGAAATCTGTCTTTATTAGGATTTTAGGCTATTTTTATTACTTTTTACCTGTTCTAATTTAAGTTTACTGTTTTATGTGTATTTGTGTGTGTATGTGTGTGTATGTGTGCGCGTGTGTGTTTGAAGAATGTTTAATTTTACATTTTTGTTGCTTTATTTTTCACGGACTTATGTACAATTTAAAATGAATTACAATGACATATTTAAAAATTTGAAATGGTATTGATTTGCTGAAACATGATTATTAGAAAAATATCAATGATTGTTTTCGGAAGTCGAGTTAATTTGGTTATTATTCTTCGATTTCTTGTTATCATTTTTCGTCATTCTCTTACTTTCGTCGTCATCTTTTTCATCTTAACTTTTATCTCCTCATCATCCTCATCGTTTCATCATCATCTTCGTAACCGTTATAACAAACCGGCTTCCATAAGCACATTCCTACCGAGTTCGGCGAATATGCCGGTACTGTGTAGTAGTGTTGTCCGGTTGAAGTATTCGGTCGGATTGGGATGCGTCCAGTGGAAGGCGTGGACATCCTTGCGCCAGTTTGGGATGCTGTTGGTGTTTGTGTGGTCCTGTCGCTCGTTGTGGTAGCCGGGGAAGTAAGTTGGGTGGCATTTTGAATGGTAGCAGATCACCTGTTCGTGATAGGTTGGTAGTTGTTTTCCGGGGTGAGCTTGTTCGTTTTTTTCATTCATTCATTCACTCAATCGTTCGTTCATTCCTTCATCATTTATTAATTACTTGACCATTTAACTAACAAACCTCTTTGACAAAAGTTACAAACATTCGGTCGACTAACCGACAATCGCCTGTCGATCCTTAGCAACTCCGGATATTTCTCCAGCAGTTTGTAGGGCATCATCACTCCCGTAAACCCGTGCACACTGTTGTACAACTTTCTCATTGAATTCCGAAAGATTTTCCAGAACGGTGCATTCCTTTTTCCGTACGATATACCGAAGTTGACGGTATCCTGGATTCGGTTGGAAATTTTTATTCGAATAATAATACTTACTCGAATAGTTAAACTTATATTTAAAAAAACATGTATATTGATGTTGTGCATTGAAATTACACACGCGTATGTCTAAATTTTGATGATAGCATTTATAAAACTAGCCGATGAATTGGTTGATTCGAGAAATATAAGGAAGTCCACACAAACACCACTGATACTATCATAAAAACACATCCCTAATTTTAGCGAAATGTACCCGACATCGACTACAAAAAACAGCACATCCCTAATCCTAATGGAACGTACCTGAAACGGCCACGACCAATCGATCCAGTCGTAAGAGGCTACAGCTTCGTAACCGCGTTCGGCGTAGCTGAGCGGTTTGACCCATATCGCATCGGTATCGGTATAAACACCACCGTATTTTATCATCAGGTCGACTCGAATTAGATCGCTCATCAATGAGTAATAATGTTTCTCCACCTCTTCCTGATAGATCTGGGTGGAAATTTCACCGATGACGTCATCATGACGTCACATATTAACAGTATTTTGGAAATTAACCATCGCCGTTATTTCATTTTATCATCGTCATCATTGTGTCACCATCATTGTACCATTATTATTATTATCATCATCATCACTACCATCATCATCATTTTTCTCTTAATGACGTCACCATAGATATTAACGAGCATAGGCTGAGTCCTGGTGATAAATTTGATCCTATCTTTGGTCTGCTTCAACGTCATCAGCTCTTTCCACAGAGGGCCCGGTGGCTCGATATCTCCATGTATGTACACCACATCCAACTTTATTATTATTATTATTTTATTATTTCATTACTACTAATAATAATAATAATGACAATATTAATATTAATAATAATAGTTGTTGTAGTAGTAGCCATAGTAGCAGCAGCAGTAGTGGTCAAAGTAGTAGAAATAGTAGCAGTAACTTTTGAAACTGTGCTACAAACTCGTAAAGTGACTCGGAAAATTTTTTTGATAAACTTGAAATTGAAATATAGAAAGGATACAATCAATCGCTCGCCTGAAGCCCGCCGAAAAAATCTGACAAACCCAACACCACCTTTTAAGAAAAAAAAATTAAGATAACCTTAGCTACGAATAACATGCTAAGTACACTGAGGTAAAAGACATAGTCCATTTCTCGACCGCCTATCCAAATCATGTGTCCAATATTCGGTACCAGGGTATCATAACTAGGAATAATTATAATTAATAATTATTATTAATTATGGATTGTAATTTATTTATTTTCTATAATTTTTTTAACTTCAGGATCAGATTGTAATTTATTTATTCTCTATAATTTTTTTAACTTCAGGATCATTTGTTGTTTCGGTTGTTGTTAGTTTGGCGTTGATAATTATGAACAAATATAAATTTAATATATTTATTTATATTTATTTATTTCACTATAATTTTTATAGTGTAATAAATTACGATGTTGATATTTATATTTATTCATTACGCTATAAATATATTTTTTAATTTTTTTTTCTTAATATATTAATCCCGAACTTTGGGATGGGAAGCCTAATTCTTTCCGATCCGTAGAACACTTTTCGGCAGAGTCTGCCCACCGGGTCATCCATCTGCCAGATATCCATGGGATAGAATGAATCGTACGTGCCCCCCTTCACAACCACACATCTGCTACTGTTTCTCAGCAGTTCGTTGTGGTAGATTTGCTGGATCTTGAAGCACGATGAACGCCTCGTTTTGTTTTTGTCGACGACGTTGTCGCCACTTTTGTCGCCTCTGTCGTCGCTGGTTTCTATATCTTTGTAGTAGTCGTTGTCGTTGTTGTTGCTGTCGTTGTTTTCGAGATTTTTGTTGCGGTTATCACTGGATTCGTATCTAACCGTGTCGGTGTCGGATGCAGATGGATCGATTATTTCTAAATCTTTTTTCGGTGGTGAAACTGCAATCGGTTTAACGTAGCCCTCAATTGAGTTGACTAAAAAGTCTTCTGGATAACTCAATTTATTACCGGCTAAATTTTTTTCCCGCAACTTCAGAAACTTTCCGTAGAAACCGGCTCTCATCATGACGTAACCGTCCGAGGTGCCATCCGGATCGAGTTCAAAGGCGAAATCGAAGTCGAGTTTCCTATCGGTTGGTCGGTATTTTAACATCCAAGTATTTTCGCCCACGAAGAACCCACCCCACTCGTTCAGAAGTTCGAAGATGACACTCAGTTTAGAGGATCGATCGTCAGATGAGCAGAACTTCGCGATCTGAATCGGTTTTTTAAATAAAAATCTAAATTAATCATTTTCGTTATCATCATCGTCATCATTAACATCAACATCATCATCTTCATCATCATCATCATCATGACCACCTGATCTGACGTCATGTTGAGCACGTAAAGCCAGGGGTACTCTCTCTTCAACTCGTCCAGCCATTGGTTGTAGATTGTTCGGTCCATTTCCGGATAAACTTCGAAATGCATGTACACCTGAGAAGGAATGAATAGGAATGAGTGAATGATTGAATGAATAAATGAGTGATTGAGTGAGTGAATGAGTGAGTAAGTTTTTAAACCAATTTAATCTTCTCAGATGAAGTACAGTGAACCTTATCTGGATGGAATGTTCTCAGACTGCTAAGAACAGTCAGATAATGTTTGTACTCGAACCATTTTGTTTTTTTTGGTTTTTCATCACCGCCCTGACACCAAAGAAAATGTACTTCGGGAGGGACGAGCCCTGGATGGAGGTAGTAGTCGGCGGGTTTGTCGTCCATGTCTAGCTGTTCGTCGACCTCGAGCGTTCGTTCAGAGTTGAAGGATTTCGAATATTCTTTTCTGTTTTTGGGTGTTGGTTGGTTGGTTGGCTGGTTGGTTGATCGGTTGATTGGTTGGTTGATTTGTTTGTTGATTGGATTGTTCAAAATAAAATATATAAATAATAAATTGTATTCTATGCGTATATTGTCGCATTAAATATATTTCCTTGAAACGTTAAATTTGCAATTAGTTTGGTTGTTTGACATAAATAACAAATCGGATAAAATTCATCAAACATTCAATCAATCAATTAATTAATAATCTAATCAATTAATCAATCAATCAACCAATCAGACAACCAATTAATCAAGCATATAATCAGACTATCAACCAACCAGCCAACCAACCAACCAATCAACCAGTCAACCAGCCAATCGTGCAACACATTAGCAAACATCAACCTAACGTATTCTAGTGATTTTTCTCTGCCTTTTCTCGTTTCAAACCGAGACAACTTCGGCCCGTTGATGAATATCGCCGAATCAAATCGATCCTTATCGAATCCCTGATTTAGACTTTGCTCTTGCAATACCAAACCTTTCGACGATGATAACAAACCGACCGGTTTTTTTGTCGGTAATATGTACCATCTTACTATGGTTATTATTAACAATATGATACATAATACTAAAAGATACGTACGTCTCCTTTCTGAAAATTTCATTTACTTAAAAGTAACTCGAGACATACAATACAAAACAAGGATTATACAAAACATGGATTATACAAAAACACGGATTATACAAAACAAGGATTATACAGTACCAGGATTATACAAAACAAGGTTTATTCAGTACCAGGATTATACAAAATTAATACAATTTTGACACAATCCCGTTCTAAAATTTATATCTAAAATCATTTCATTGACCAAAACAATGTTTATAGTATAAAAAATTAACACGTATGTTACACGTTTTGTGGTATGTGTGTGTTTGTATATGTGTTTGTGTGTGTGTATATATATATATATATATATATATATATATATTATAAAAATTCGTCGTTATTACTAAGTAAATTTTTCAATCATTTATAGCTTGCTGTCTGAGTGGATAAAAGAGCAATGTATTGTTTCGTATTGTATTGCTTTGTGTATTGTTGTTGTTGTTGTTGTTGTGTGTGTGTATGTATTTGCGTGTATATTTTGTTGTATATGTGTATGTATTTAGTTCTATTTTGTATGTACTACATTGTATGTTCTTGTATGCATTGTTTGTATAGTATTGCATCGCTTGAATTTCTCATAATTGTATTGATTAAGTTTAATATTTTGGTACACACCTAGTAAGATACCGTATGTCTTATGTCTTAGGAATATAATTAGACATACAGGTATTTGAAATGTAATACCCAGAATGTTCTGTTGGCAATGAGCGGGCCTGTGTTTGCTTCGGATAAATACAAATTAAATAGATGAATATGTACTAATGAACTTTGTGCTTGACAGACAACAACAGCAGCAGCAGTAGTAGTAGCAACAGCAGCAGCAGTAGTAGT